CTGTGTTGATGAATTACTATCACTTTAAATAAACATTATACATACTTTGAACTTTATTATAATTATTAAGACATTGTTGACAAATATTAATAAAATATTGACTTCTGATTTCAACTTGTGTTGCATTTTTTACAACCCTTAATCATATTTAAACTTTTTTTTTTATTAGTGTCTACTAATGATACCTGACAAAAGATGAAATAGTTTCGTCTAGATAAAAGACGAAATAGTTTCGTCTAGATGAAAGACGAAATAGTTTCATCTAGACAAAAGACGAAATAGTTTCGTCTAGGCAAAAGACAAAACCATTTCATCTGGCAGCTTCAATTAGATGAATGACAAATGACAAAACCCATGATGAATGATGAAACTCGTGACGAAACTCCACGAATATATATATATTTATGAGAAAAAAAATAAATAAAATAAAATGTGTGACTTTTGCTTTAGGAATCATAAAAATTGGTGAGTGCATAAACATCTTCTGTTAGTAAAATTTTGTGTTATTACCGTTACAATTTCTATCATTAAAGTTGAAGATCCTGCAAATTTTATTGGTTCCAAGGGCACCCTGATATTCAATACCAATTGCCATGATCACGTGATATCTTGAAATGATTTTTGGCCAAGACTTAGGTTCCTTGCTCAATGTAATGCCGATTGACATTTAATTTTGGCCAGAATTTACACCTATAATGTTGGCCGGTTTATGTAATTCTGGTCAGATTGCAGAATTATCATTTTTCACAGACAGAATTGGTATTTTGTCACTGCAGAAAATTATTATCTCTGACTATAAATTAATAATAAATACAGACCCTGACTAAACCTTTACAGCTTCTTTCTGTCTACAAATTAGTTAAATTAGTTAGTTGGTTAGTTTTAATTATTCCTAATTAGGCTACACTTTCTCAGCATGCATAAAACCTATCTCTAGTTTCATCAATCATCAATCATCTGTAGTTTCATCTATAGTTTCATTTATAGTATCATCATTCGTCTATTAGTTTTGTTATTTATCTATAGTTTCATCATTCGTCTACAGTTTTGTCATTCGTCTGGGTTTTATCAGATGAAACCAGAGACGAATATGTTTTGTCTGTGCAAAAATAGTTTTATCAGACATATAGGTGTTAGACAAAACCTTTTTTGCTTTGTGATAAAGACAAAACCTAAACCCCAAAATGATGAAACCTGACGAAAGACGAAACCTCAAATTCTGTTGACAAAAGACGAAACCCAAATTCAAAATGATGAAACTAGTGCAACTGCTAAAAAAAACCTCTTGAGCTCACGCTAAAAAAAAAAAAACAAAAAAAAACAAAAAAAAAACTGGATTGATAAAACTTCATGATAATAGTGAATTCTTACTTCTCTTGCTAAAAAATTACTATTGAAATTTTGGTTTTGATGAAACTATCAATAAAAATAATAAAATTATCTCTATTTTTAGATATTTAACCCTATTTAATACTGAAGATTTTTATTGATTTGTACATATATTTAGGTTTTAAAAAGCCAATTATAGAAATTATAAATAGCAAATAAGCCATTAGCATCTATGTTTAATGCCAAAAATGTTTATTGGCTTGGCCTAGCTTGTATATTTAGGTTTTGAAAGCTAATTACAGAAATTTTATAATTAAAGATCTGAAAACAATGTATGTATATACCTCTTATGAATTTTTATATATTATCTATACTAATTTATTAATAAAAAGTCTTTATTGATTTAGCCAATAGGATATCGATATACAGAAATATCAGATATGTAGAATAATCTTAATTGTGCTAATTTATTTAATTGATAAATTACTTATTAAAATTGATATAATTTACTTAATTGATAAATTACTTATTAAAATTGATATAATTGTATGTTTTAAATTTTAGTTTTATATAAACATAAATGTAGGAGCTAGCGGCACCCTTACTTACACTTGCTTCTGTTTCTCATCAGTTTCATCATCTTTTGTAAGTTTTGTCATCTTTTGTCAGTTTCGTCACCTTTTGCCAGTTTCATCATGTTTCGTTATTTTATCATTTGAGATTTTAGTTGATGAAAAATGAAACTAGGTTTCGCATTTTGTCAACGCAAAACCTTAAGGTTTTGTCTAACAACTATAGTCAGGCATCATTAGTGCCTACTCATGTAATATGGAATGTTACATATTAAAAAGGCAAAGTTTCAAACTTATTTTTTATTTTTGTATTGATATAGTCAGTATATTTCAATAAACAAGTTTACTATACTATAAGTTACCAAAGATAATTATATAATAAAAAGATTCACAAAATGAACTTGAAGTTTATATGTTTATTAAGAAAGTCCAACTTATATTCAACCCTTTTTTTTAGTAAGATCTATTAATTGGTAGAGATAAATAAGTTTGGTCCGGTTGGTCCGGTCCATGGTGAGACCGGTCTAATAGTTTTTTGGTCTGGTCTTAGTCCAGTTTCGGTTCTAAAACCAGTTCTTCATTGTGATATTGCATGTGATAGTTTGTCAATGAGATCAATTATTTTGTACAATGATTAAGCCACTGATCAAATCTATCGATCTATCACTCAACAATTAAATTTATTCATTATGCAAAATAATATTAAAAATACTACAGCCTATATATTGTTCTATATATTAATATTTATTGTATTCGAAGTATAAAGCAAGCAATATTTTAATGTCATATTATATTTTAGCATATTCCTTTACGGAGCCAGGTTTTTAAGCAGAGAATTGCTCTTGCTGTCTCTTCTTCTAATTTATTTCTTTCATCAGAAATTACTCTCCCAGCAATTGAAAATGCCTGTTTCGAAGCAATACTGGTTGCTTGAATCATTAAATAATTACAGGTGATTGTATTTAATATTAGATATTTATAATACTGTATTTTCCACCAACACAGAGAATCAACATGGCTAAGCAAAGGTATTGTGAGATACTTTTTAATTTCGTTATGTATACAATTTGTAGAAGGCAAATTATATATAAAAGAAGTATTAACAGCATATAGATTATGAAAGTAATCTCTGTCATTATCCAAATCATTAGCAAAAGCTATTTGTTGTAATGTTTTAAATATATATTCACTTAATCCAGAAACCAAATTAACTACTTTATTTTTCTCATTTTCAGTTTTGAATGCTAAATTTTTACTCTTGGATTAAGAAATACAGAGATTTGAGATGAATTATCAAGAATTAACTAGTAGCTTGCCAATTTTTGATACATCATATTGGCCATTTGAGCTTTAGAGAAATTAGTATTATCTTTATAGACTCATGAATTCAAAGAACAACAAATCAAACATCTCCGTGTATTGGGTAGCTTGATGCAGACAAAAAATGAGTAGTATATTCAAGAAGCATAATTGTATCCTTTTTTAAAAATAGTATTTGAATACAGTATATACAAATTAGAATTTGCTTTTTTGTTTTTTTTTTATATAAAATTCATACTTACATTAATATTATTTAAGTCTTCTGCATCTAGATACTTTTATTTTACTGTTTGATCATTAGCTATAAGCAAATTTAATGCAGGCTCTAATCTTTTCCACTTTATTAGCATATAGTAGGTGGAATTCTACTGTGTTTTTATATCAATTTCAGGTGCTAGGTAAGGAATATTTTTTACACTACAAAATTGGTTTAAAGCATTGTTTGTTGGGTTTGACGATCTAATATATGACATTAATGTTCTTACTTTTACTATTGACTTATCTACAAGCTTAAACCTCTGATTAACTACAAGATTTAAAATATAGGCTATGTATCTGTAATGCAAAAATTCAAGGTTATCAAATTCTTCTTCAAGTTCTTATACTATAAGTTCACTGCATACAATTATTGATAAAGCGTTCAGTAGTAATAGCTAAGAGTTTTTTTTCTAAATTGAATTTGTGAAGGACATTCATTATGGCATTAGTCATATTTAAACCTGTATGATATACTTCTATCAGAATAATATCCAGAAGAAAACTATTTAGTCTCCAAGAAGAATCAACGAAATAGATTATTAAACTAAGAAAAGCAGCACCATTTGAAGCAATCCACATATCCGAGGTAAATGACACTTTTCTAGGAATTTGTGATATTACTAATTTTACTTGTTCTTTTTTATTTTCAAATAGAATCATAATACGATCTTTTTCTGTATAACGATTATGAAATTGATAACATGGGTCAAATTTTTTTATTATATCCCGCCATTCTTTACATTCAATAACAGCAAAAGGCTGCAAATCACATAATATCCATTTTGTTACAGCATCATCATGCTCTTGGTGTTCTTCTGCTGAATAAAGAATATAATAATTTTCAACTGCAGACTTATTTTTTTTTTATATTGGCACAATAATATTATGCACTTCAAGATGTCACCTTAATGTTGAGGTACTAGTATTCTTTCCGAATTTTGATGGACATACTTTACACTTCTGTTTTCCAGACTTTCTAATTTTTTTAAAATAATTTCACACAGTTGAGAGTTTTTTTTTTTTTGGAACTGTGAATTTATATAATTATCCGAATGAGTACTCATTGATGAATTGCTTTCTTCATCTTCATGGATTTCATTATTATTCTCCTGATCAGTCATAGTATTTGAAGAATCATTACTTATATTAGAATTATTACTCATATTGTCTTCTTCTTGAGTAAAGGTAAGAAATTGATTATTTGTATACATTATGAAAAATGATGTATAACTGTAAAACAATGTATAACTGTTTGTTATGATCTAAAAGAGATAGATCAAATAGTAATACTTTTAATAGATTACACTATATAATATAATTTAATTTCTGCATTTTCGTAATCAAAGAAATAGCATGACACTATTCTTTTATTGAGAATCATTATACTTTATTTATGCATTTACATTATGAATACATGATCTCAAAATATCAGAATTCTGAAATGTTTGATAAAATTAGCTGAATGATTTTTTATGCCAATTCGATTAAGTTAAATAATCTCACTATAATAGATTCTATAAATTAATACAACTGGGTCATATAATGTAATTTAATAATCACAACATATCAATTAAATAAGTTATAGATGCTTGTATATATGAATGATGTAAATCACATGATTTGAAATTTTTTGGGTGTTTATCCCCAGTATGCGCATATATAATTTAAGATCAGATGTTATAAATATATTAAATCAAATATGGAAATATAATGTTTTCAAAACACTTTACCTGGTGAATAATTGAAAACTTTTTTTAAAAAGTTTATTATTCGAAAATTGCAAACACTTAAATGTTAGCATGTTATTATAGTTAAATTTTCAAGCACTTTCGAAGATAAGAATATATTAAAAACTTATAAGACAAATAAATATCCGATATTAATAAAGTCAAGATTTTTTAAAATACTTTGAACTAAATCTTGCTGGAGTTATTTCTTTAAATCAGCGTCAAAATTCTTAACCATATCCCGTGTAATATGTTTATTAAAAATGTCTATTTTATATCTGGAGTAGTGATAGAAAAATATACATTTTGAAAATCGATCATATTTAAAAAAAATGGGACATTGAAAAAATGCGCCGTCAGAAAAATTGATGCAGAAGAAAAATTGGAGAGGCTTTTTTTTTTTCTTTTTAAAGTTTTTTTTTTTAATTTTTTTTGTAACTTATCTTTCTTTATCTTTCTTTTTAAACTTGTATTTTTGAGCTTAGTATTTTTTTATATTTTTTTTTTTTAATTTTTTTTTTAATTTTTTTTTACTCTTAGCGAAGCATAAGCTGGTCATGATTTATTTTTCTATATAAAATTTAAATGGGATAAGATGCACATGATTTTTTTATTATTTTTAATGTAAAATAATGCGGAATTGATAATAAAAAATAAATAAAGTTCGGACCTACTTTTGGACCGGTCTGGACAGGTCTCAGAACCGGGGACCGGTTAATCGTGGGGACCGGTTAATAACCGATCCATAATTCGGTCTTTCTAGGACCGATTCATCCCTATTAATTGGCAAAACCAGTTTTTGTATCATACATATTGGATAATGCAAAAAAAAATTTTAATAATGTGTTGAAATAGTTGACGTTGCGAATGTAATATAATATTGATCGATGTAATAATAGTAACTCAATAATTTTTTCATATACTGATCACGCACTAATGATACCGAAATCAATAACTTATCAAATTCGGCCGAATAGACTTCGGCAAATTTTTTTAGGGTGTCCCAGAATTTATGATAATAGCTGTAATATTAATATAAATATTAACTTAATATTAATATAAATATTAACTTTCTCCAATCTCTTTACCGGTGTGAGGCCGAAATGTGACCACGTGTCCGCGTGACCTGGGAATTCCAAATTTGGGTTTACCGGGAGAATTCAAGGAATTCAGAGAATTTGGAAAATTTGGAGGATTATTCGAATACGGACAATTAGATGAAAAGAGGGAATGTGGCGAATAATATTTACTGTAATAAGGATAATTCTAGTTATAAGGCGTATTCTTTATGTAATAATAGATATTGAAATAATTATAAATAAATGCCTTTTGGCCCTTCGGGAATGCTCTCGCCTTTTCTTTATTAATACATTCATATAGCCATACAAGTATTTCTAATAAATTATTTATTCCTAGCTCTAACTTCATACATAATAACTTATACATTCGCTAAGTTGTTACTAAAGCTAGTGGTTCCCTAAACCCATCCCAAAACAACTCGCCAAATCTAACATGCCTTTTTGACCCAATTTAACCTAAACTTCAGTTACACGAAGCTAGCGACAGACTCGCCGATTTCAGGACTTTCACTGGCATACCTGTTTAAAACGGAAAAGATTTCGTCAAAAAATTGTATTATTATTTATCTATACAAGCGAAAGTAGGGTGCCTGTTGTACTACTTTGACCAATACTGTAAATTAATCTGAACATAAATTATTATCATATTCCCTGGCACGACTAACAAAAAACTCGAAAATGTGGCTGTGAAACTATATTTGTTAATTTGAGTGATGCTATCAACATTACGACATCAATTAAGTTTACTTTTTACTTTTTTTTTTTTTTTTTAACTATAAAACTTTTATATCACTTTGTAAAGCTAAAAATTAGTAGAAAAAAAAACTCAAATGATAATTAGTCAAATATCGATCTATTTGAGCTGAAGCCGCCATAAAGAAACCGGATTAAATCAAAATTATTTGTTAAGTTGCTTATAAAGAATTGATTAATACGCACAATTGGATCCATTATTCCAATTAACTAATTATTTATATACTGTTAGGTAAAAATGTAATTACAAATTATATTTCGTTTATTTAAATACGGCTTAAAGATTCTTTTTTCCGTATTCTAAGTTATTTTTTCTTTTTGTTAATGAAGTTATATAATATTTATATTTATTATAGCCAAGACTAACATTTAGCATCGTAATACGTAACCTAGATTTTTAACAAGCTTATGTACAGTACGTACGCACGCTCGTACTTTTTAGTTTTTATCAATAGTTAAATATTACGTAAGTCTCAGCTGAATAAGCTATTTCCTCTCGTGTCCCGAAATTTTTGTTGGTCATACAAGGGAGTTCTTTAATTATGATGTGTATTTCCCTCATTATTTGTGTATTCAAGTATTATTTTAATATTTGTATTTTGGGTAACACCTAGGGACGTTATGATTGACAGATCTACGAATGTCTTGTTACAGTATTATTTATTGTTGTGATATAAAAACATTCTGTGGTGGAAGTAGAGGTGTGATCCGTAAACTATTAGTTAATATAAATAAACAGTAGTTTATTGTAAAACTGTAGTTTTAAAATAAACTTTATATGTACTGTAATTCACAGTTCACATCACTAGGTGGAAGTCGTGTAAATATAGGTGAAATGAGAGACATACTAAGATACGTACTCATTCCTGAAAAATTTTATCAATAGTATAGAAAGTAATCCCTATAAAAAAAGTTTGTACAGTTAATGTCGGCATTGTCCAAAAAAAATGTTCGGAACGGGTTGATTTTCCGAACAAGGTTTATGTTTGTACTGTTTTCATAACGACGTTTGTACGGGATGATTGTAAATTATCGTATAAAAAAAACGCATTCGTCCAATAAACATCCTTTAAATTTTCGAAACGGAGTCGATTTTCAGAACAAAAATTCGAATAATTTCAGAATTTTCCGAAAAATTCAAAAGATTTTTTTTTTATAGAGTATGAGTAATACGGTGCATATTTCAGATTATGCACAAACATCAAACATCAAAAACCTTGTATTCGAACCAATTGAATTTTCTTATATAAGAGTGATGACTTTCTTGTAATTCCTTACATATAAATAAAAATTTCTGTGAGAATTTTTTTTATAAACCGTGGATCTGCTTCTGTGTTGTGTAATTTCATTTATATGTATATATTAGTTTTATGCGCTATTGTGTACTCGTATGTATATTCATTAGTGGTATTTTATTTTTAATATTGAAATTGAGAAAATGTCATCTATATTGGAATATAAGTTTATATTATACAAGCACTTGCAACTCACATATTTGAAGTTTACAGGTCAACTATCAAAACTAATTTATTGCATGATGTCGCTTTCCCAAAATCTGAACATATGCAAAAAAAAACCAAAAAAATAAACAAACACAAATTCCCATTATTATTATTTGTTTTTGGGTTGTATTACCTGATACAATATCAATAAGCTTTTGCCAAATGATAATTCCTTTATATCCAAATTAATATAAAGATATTCAATTTTGCACAAAAATATTCAGTTTACATTAGTACGTACAAAAAATATTTGGTTAAACCTTGCAACTTGTGATTTGGTGGTTCAATTTGAATTATTCTAGTATCATATGATTCTTTTTTATCAAAACAAAGTGTTACTAAGGGAAAAGGGACATCGAACTTTCAATTCATTTGTATTAGACATAAAGTTCCATCTTCTCTTGGTAGCACTCAAATAATACTAAAATTGTCAAAATTAAACCCTACTTCACAAGTTATCATATTTAATTTCTCTATATTAAGTTATATATTTTTGTACTAAATTAAATAATGTTTATATTAAATAAATATTCTTTTGTACTATTAAAAGGTGTTTTTTTATACAATGATAGATCTTTTCGTATTTATTTAGATGTGGAATGGATATAATGATTGAAGATTTGTATTCTATAAAAGATTCTATATTTAGAATTTTTTAGTTTATAAAAACCTCAAAAAAGTGAGGGAATTAATGTAGCATACATGTATTGTATTCTGTTGCATATTCTTACGAATATAAGATGTCTCTAAACGAAAAACATAAACCAGAAAATTCAATTTCAGTAGATATTGAATCCTATTCGTTGGAAGAAAAATACTATGTTATTCAGCTAAAAAAAGTGTTTGACGATCTAATGGACCTTCAATCTTTATTAGATAAAAATTTTATTTCTTATATTACTGTATGTGTTATCTCACTTACAGTTGGAGTTGTGTTTTCAGTTTCAGATAAAGATAGTATGAAATCATTAAGCAGCAAAGTTCTTTCAACCACTATTTCTGGAATAGGAGGAATTACAACTCTTTTTGCAAATCAGGTTTTGCTTAAGAATCTTTTTACTAGGAATAAATTAAACACTGTTGATGATTTGAATAAAGAACAAGAGGACAAACCAGATACTGCTGATAAATTGAATAAAGAACAAGAGAACAAACCAGATACTGCTGATAAATTGACTGCTGACAAATCAAATAAATTAGGTGATGATGATATTAAAGTGCAAGAAAGCCAATCGGATACAGTTAAAAAATTGGACAAAAAACAAGGACCAAAAGTTGCTAGAAAACATAGTCAAAGCTGGGCAAAAAAAATTGCCAATATTACTGGCTATGAAAAAACCGATAGGAAGCCATTATATTTCATGAGAAAGCTGTTCAAAAATACAAAAATTACATTTATTTTTACATCTCTATGGATTATTATATTTTCATGCCTTATGATTTACCTGACTATATATTCTATTATTTTTTTAGCAAGTGAGGTTAATGATGATGATGAATATTATGAAACATTTAAAAAGTTAACAAATTGTCTTTTTGCATTTCCCGCAATTAGCACAGTTTTTGCATTTACATACATATATCAAATTAGGATAAAATCCCCTAAAATAGTAGGAAAAAACAAGCTTAAATTTTATAAATATAAAATTCCCCTAAATTACTTAAATTTAGTAAAAGAAACAAATAATACAACATGTTTTTATCGATCTTTAAACATCTTTATGAAAGGTTTTTATCGATCTTTAAACATTTTTATGAAAGGTTTTTATATCATTATTTTGGGTCCAATTGGTCTTATAACTTATGGAAAAATTAAGAATGAAGATGCAGACAAGAATGATGATGAAGATAAGAATGAAGATTCAAATAAGAATAAGAATGGTAAAGTTTTTAAAGTGAGAAGAATTGTATTAAGTCAAACAGAGATGGAGAGTATAAAGCGTCTTCTTCATGGCTTACCAGAAATCCCAAATACCAAGTAAATTGTTTTGACGAACCACTTTTTTTAAGCTGGTTGCTTTCATAAATTTAAAGTTTATTTTTTCATTTCTGTGCATTTTAAAATTTGGCTTAAAGATCCACGAATTATTATTTGGTTATTGAATTATTTACATCATATTATATGTGAACCACATAATGTATCTATTTTACCATAAAACCCATCCCTTTTGCCGGTTTAAAATTTATTCTAAAACCGATATTATTTATGGTATATAATAATACAGTGGTATTATTCCTAAAATGTGTTTAAATTTTTTCTAAAATAAAGTTTCGCTTGAATAGTAGCTATTTGTATTGAGGATATATACAATCTACAATTTAGATGTGAACTTTGAATGATTATTAGTATATCAAATAAGTTACGGTAGAACTATAAATGCAGCCTTAGTTACGTTTTATATAAAAAAGTTGCGTCAAACTGGAAAATAAAGCACAATTAAGCCGTAACTGGCGACGTAAATAAGTCTGCATTTATAATAGAACTTATGCTCGTAACTAGTTATGGTAGAAACTGTAAAGCCGCATTAATATTATCAATTCTTTCGATTATGATATCATTGATTGTTGCAAAATAAATTTGCACTTAATAATTATATTGACTATTCATCGCTCAAACTGTGATGCTGACTATATGTCACGTAGTTTAGCAACTCTACGTGTACTTCTTTAACTTTACTATCGGTCTTTACTCGCTTGGCCTAATATACGATGACTGGAGTATCGTATCAGATACTACCACCAATAATGTATTTAGCCACACAGATAATACAGTTTATTCACTAAGAGTCAAAAGTTTATTCACGAAGAAACTAAGCTTATAGCTATCAAATGCAAATTCACGAAGAATCAAAGCTCGGTATCTCCCAATTCGGATCGATACCTTATATATTATTACTAATCGCTATCGATTACTACATTGTTCATGCAATCATATATTAATTACTAATCGCTATTGATTACTACATCGTTCATGCGATACTATTTTTAGATTTTTAATTAAATTGGGATCATGCCATTCATGCATATCCCGATCACAATATTCGATCAATGTACCCGATCATTAATCACATGGGTACCGCTATCCTACTATTACAAGGGCAGGGCATTAAGAAACACCGCAACACTATACTAAGACAAAACTTGATAAAAACATAAATTAGCTACACATAGTTTGTTCTGTTTATATTTTTAAAACTGTGAAATTATCAAAATAAAATCTATATATTCCGCAGAAATTAAAGTCGAAAATTTATGAGAATAATCTCATTTAACAGAATCGAAAGTTATATAGTAGAATTACCACTCTTAGATTTTAAATACCATTCCTGTGCTTTCGTTTCATCCTTAGGTGTACCTTTACCATGCTTATAGCAATTTCCAAGCTCACGTTGTCCTTCCGCATTTCCTCCCTCAGCAGATTTTAAATACCAAGCAAACGCCTTTTTTTTACTCAAAGTAACGCCTATACCGTTTTGGTAGAAGAATCCAATTTTACACTGTGCGCTAGAATTGCCTGCTTCGGCAGATTTTAAATACCATTCAAATGCTTTCTTTTCATCCATACCAACGCCTATGCCGCGTTTATAGCAATTTCCAATATAACATTGTCCATCGGAATTGCCTTTTTCTGCGGATTTTAAATACCATTCATATGCTCTTTTATCATTCAGAGATGTACCGATACCATCTGTATAGCAACGGCCAAGATTACATTGACCATTGGGATCTCCCCCTTTAGCAGACTTTGAATACCATTTAAACGCTTTATTTGCATCTTGATTAGTACCTATACCTTTCTCATAACAACTCCCGAGGTCACATTGTCCACTGTGATCTCCCCTTTTGGCCGACTTTAAATACCATTCGAATGCTTTCTTTTCATCTTTAGCGACGCTTATGCCAAATTGGTAACAATGTCCTATATAGCGTTGTCCAATTGAGCTACCGCCATTAGCCGATTTCAAATAACACTCAAATGCTTTGTTTTCGTCCCTAGTTGTGCCAATGCCATGTTCATAACAAATTCCAAGGCTACATTGCCCATTAGGGTCGTTAGTTTCGGCAGATTTTAAATACCATTCAAATGCTTTCTCCTCATCTTTAGTAACTCCTACACCATTTTGATAACAGTATCCAATATAGTAATATCCACTAGAATCACCGTTTTCAACAGATTTTAGATACCACTCAAATGCTTTCTCTTCTTCCTTAGCAGTGCCTAAGCCATAATGATAACAACGTCCTAGATCGCATTGTACAGCAGAAATCCCACCCTCGGCGGATTTCAAATACCATTCGAATGCTTTCTTTTTATCAATAGAAGTGCCTATACCGCGTTGGTAACAATATCCAAGATTATATTGTCCAATGGGATTACCGCCTTCTGCAGATTTTAAATACCATTCAAATGCTTTATTTTCATTCTCGGTAGTTTCTATACAAAATTGGTAAAAATATCCAAGATTATTCTGTCCGGCAGAATTATTACTTTCAGCAGACTTTAAATACCACTCTAATGCTTTATTTTCATCTTTAGTAGTGCCTATACCATGTTGATAACAACGTCCAAGATTACATTGTCCAATGGAGCTACCACCATTAGCAGATTTCAAATACCATTCAAATGCTTCTTTCTCATCCTGAGTAGTACCTATGCCATTTTCATAGCAAGTTCCGATACTATTTTGCCCATACGAATAACCATTTTCTCCAGATTTTAAATACCATTCAAATGCTTTCTTTTCATCTTTAACAACACCTAAACCATATTGATAACAACGTCCAAGATTATGTTGACCAATAAAATTTCCGCTATTGGCAGATTTCAAATACGACTCGAATGCTTTCTTTTCATTTTTAGTAGTGCCAACTTCATTTTCATAGCAAAGTCCAAGATTACATTGTCCGTCAGAATCACCTCTCTCAGCGGATTTTGAGTACCATTCAAAGGCTTTTTCTTCATCTTTAGTAGTGCCTATTCCATCTTCATAACAATTTCCAAGATTAAATTGTCCAACGGGATCATTATCTTCCGCTGACCTTAAATACCATTTAAATGCTTTTTTTTCATTTTTATCAGTGCCTATACCATATTGATAACAATACCCGAGTTTATATTTTCCAACAGAGTTACCATTTTTAGCAGATTTTGAATACCATTCGAATGCTTTTTTCTCATCTTTAACAGTCCCTATACCATATTGGTAACAATGTCCAAGCTTATGTTGTCCGACGAAGTTGCCATCATTAGCAGATTTCAAATACCGTTCAAATACCTTTTCATTCTGGTCAGTGTTAATACTGCTCTCAACATAGTTGCATTCTTCATTAGAATCATCACTTACTGTAGATTTTAAACACCATTCAGATGCTTTCTTTTCATCTTTAGCGGTACCTATGCCATATTGGTAACAATGTCCAAGGCTACGTTGACCGACTGAGTTACCGCCATTAGCAGATTTCAAATACCATTCGAATGCCTCCTTCTCGTCTTTAGTGATACCTATACCATACTGGTAGCAATGACCGAGATTACATTGGCCAGCAGAATTGTTACTATTGGCAGATTTTAAATATAATTCAAATGCTTTTGTTTCATCTTTAATAGTACCAATACCATTTTCATAGCAAAGTCCAAGATTACATTGTCCATTAGAATCGCCACTTTCAGCAGATTTTAAATACCATTCAAATGCTTTGTTGTCATCCTTGGAAACGCCTATACCACTTTCATAACAAATTCCGAGATTAAGTTGTCCGCTAGAATCTCCATCTTCTGTAGATTTTAAATACCATTCAAATGCCTTTTTTTCATCTATATTTGTGCCTATACCGATTTGATAGCAATATCCAATATTACATTTTCCAATAGAGTTATCGCCTTCTGCAGACTTTAAATACCATTCAAATGCTTTCTTTTCATTTTTATTGGTGCCTATACCATACTGGTAACAGTATCCAAGGTTACATTGTCCAATGGAATTACCATTATTAGCAGACTTCAAATACCATTCAAATGCTTTTTTCTCATCCAAGTCAGTGCCTATGCCACTCTCGCAGCAAATCCCAAGACCACATTGTCCAATAGAATAACCAGCTTCTGCAGATTTTGAATACCATTTAAACGCCTTTTTATCATCTTTAATAGTGCCTATGCCATATTGATAACAATATCCAAGATTGTATTGTCCAATAAAATTACCGTTGTTGGCAGATCTCGAATACCACATAAATGCATTTTTTTCATTTTGTATAATGCCTATACCATTTTCATAGCAAATTCCGAGTTTGCACTGCCCACTAGAATTATTACTTTCTGCCGATTTTAAATACCATTCGAATGCTTTTTTATCATCTTTATTAGTTCCTATACCATATTGATAACAACATCCAAGATTATATTGAACAGCAAAGTTATCACCTTCAGTAGATTTTAAATACCATTCGAATGCTTTTTTATCATCTTTATTAGTTCCTATA